TTTTTTTTTTTTTTTGTAGTTCAGGCCGGCCCTGAATTCACTATGTAGCCCGGGCTGGCCTTTAACTCAGGTAATCCTCCTGCCTCAGCCTCGGAGTGCTGGGATTATGGGTGTGTGCCACCACCCCCGGCCAGTGTGACCTTTGAAAAGTCCCTGAAGGCTCCCTGCCTCACTCCCTCCTTTCCTTATACTTTGACTACTTCTCTACTTACACTTGTGCGGTTCCCATTGTCTCAGTCTCCCTTATACTTGTGTATTTCTTTCTCACCATTCAGATCAGTGTATGAAAGTTAACCTCCTCAAGGAAACTTCCACTCAATCAGGTGCTGCCGATTGTGTTAAGACAGTGGACACAGATAATAGCTGATACTTGAGGGGGCCTTCTGAAGCCTTGGTTCTTGGCTGTGAATCCAGCCTGTCCTTCCTCAGCTTTCGAGGAATGACTAATGTGGGTACGGCCCTTTGCCTCTCAGGCCCTCAGCATGTTCGTCTGTGAAATGAGAGCAGTAACAGCACCTGCCCCATCAGATGGTGGGAGCATGAGGGTCCCTGGCACATAGCTGGCTCTGGAACATCTGCTGTGGTTGGCATTGCCATTTTTGCCAAGGGTGTTGCTCCCTGTGTTGGACTCATGGGATCCTCTTTCTCCGCAGCCTCGGAGTCACATGAGTACCACCCTGTCTGCCCGTGGTCCCTGAGGCCTTCCGCACGGGCCCAGCCCTGGTGGACACGCAGCTGTGCCTGTTGAGGAAATGAATGTGTGGGACCCCACACAGCCCAGGGTGTTGCAGGACACGTGGGACCTGTCAGCAGTGCTGTCTGTAGCTCACACCCGAGAACGTCACACAGTGGAGTACAAGAGGCCTCAATCTATAGAAACTGCCCCTTTACTTAATCCTCTGCACACATCTTAGTCTAAACCAGCGAGGAAGAGGAAGGATCTAAGAGAGTTATTTTGTAACCAAGTGGAAGAAACTATGACTTTTTAATTCCAACTCCAGCTCTTCCTCACCAGTCTCCCTGCATGGAGAGGTGATGTCTGTAGTTGCTTCTTCCCTGAGGTGGCCTCCTGAGCCTCCTTCTAGGAAGAAACATGTCCAAGCAAGGCATAGCCTGAGGGCAGGAGGTCTTCTGGGGATCCCTGGACCGTGTTGGATTCTGGGTCAGGAGGGAGTCTCTCAACTCCACACGTGGGTGTTCTCCCCAAGCACCTGGTCTGTGTCCTGTGGGAGGCTCTGCATGCTTCCAGTCAGGAAGACAGATGCACACGGCCAGCCACCATTTGTTTAAAAATAGACCTTTCTTTGACATATGTAGAGCACTACTTAATCTGTGCCAGGCATGGTGCTAAGTGATTCACTGGCATCATTTGTTTAATCCTCATCTTAGGAGAGATTATGGCCCTCATTCATCAGCGTGGAAAGGAAGCTCATCACTTGCCCAAGGTTGTGGCAGGTTGCCTCAGTGACAGAGGAAGACTTGAATGCAACTTTCTGTGAGCCCCAAGCTACAGCTCTTGTTTACTACACAGAGGGTGAGCAAAGGTGGAATGTGTTTGAAGGTCAGGTATGGCCGCCACCTCTGTGCAGACAGCTGGCCAGGATGCGGGTGAATGAGGTTTGTTCAGCACCTCCACTGGCTGGAGTGGGAACCATCTGCAGAGGGTCTCCTGCAGTCCCATTTCCCACCAGGAGTCAGCTGAAGTCCTTTGCAGAAGAGACAGGATGCTGTGCTGCTCTTCTTGGGAACTGAATAGGAAGCAGTCAGTCAGTCATGGTGTGTGTGATTCATCTGGCACAGGGACTATGACAGATGCTTTACATGCATCTCCCCTCATTAATCTTTAGAACCAACTGCAGGAGGTAGATTCTGATAAATCTGTCTTACGGGGAAGAAAACGGGTTTTAGAGGTAAAGTCACTTGGTTGGACACAGAACAAGTAAGCAGAGGAGCTGGCAGTTACCCAGGTCTGTACCCTTCCAGAATGTGTGGGATCAACCCACACCAGGGAAGGTGGGGAGGTACCTCCTCGACCTGTCTCCCCATAGCACACTGCAGCACTAGAAAAACTAACTCACCCTCCAGGAACTGCCCACTTGCATCCTCAGGATTTGAGTTGTGACTTAGCCACTTTTTTGTCCAATAGTGTCTTTTGGGTACAAGCAAGAGCAGAGACCTGGCATCCCTGGCCTGGCCACTTCCTGCCCCGCCCCATCTGTTGCTTCCCTCTGTGTGACAGGGCCTCTGAGCCCTGTACTTGTCCTGTACCTGGGCCTCACAAAGACATGTGAGATACCCCTCCTGTCCCCTTGGAGCTCACACGTGGTATGGGAGCCAAGGGTATGATGGTGAGGGGAGGCAGGGGTCAGAGGACGTGCTCTACAGAAAGGGTGGCAGGATTTCCAAGGCCAGAGCTTGGGTGGGGGTTGCCAGGCCCCGCGAGGCTCAGGACTGCCGCTTACTAAGAACTGCGTTGTGCTCCGTAGGCGTCATCACCTGGAGTTGCGGTGCTGACTGTGCCCCGGGTGGAATCTTTATTGCTATGTTATAGAAGAGGAAACAGGCTTGAGTGTTGGAACCAGCCTTCTGGCCCTCGTTTGTCTGAATTCAGAGTTGTGTGTGAGAGAAGCAGAGGGAACGAAGGGGAGGAGGTTCTCCTTAGTGCAGACCTGCTTTACAGCCCATCTTCTCAGGGACTCCAGCTGTGGGGAGATAGAAGAGGAAACATAACTGTTTGAGACTGGAGAGAGGTGCTGGGAAGCAGTCTGCACAGAGGAGGCCATTCGGGTTGGGGGACACAATGGAATGGCATCCTGGAGGGGCTGTGTGACAGGCTGCCTTTTGAGAGATGGGGGGTGCCCCATGGCAGAGGCTTCCTCAGCTGGGGTGGGGGTGACATCATGCAGCCAGGAGGGGCCTTTGTCTCCACCTTTTTGAGAGGCTGGGCAGAGTGATCTGACCACCTTCATTTGGCCCCATTCAGGTTTGGAAGGAAAGGAAGCCTCATGCTGGGTCTGCACTGTGGGGCAGCCTACTCCTCAGCAGCATCTTTGTCTGGGAGGAGTCTCCTGTTGAGTCTCTATGAGCAGACCTGATGGCGGTTGTCAAAACACATGGTGCTAGGGCAGAGGCCCCGCAGATGCCCCCCATGTGGCCTTTGCCTACACCCTGGACTTGGAATGTCCTCTTGCAGGATCCTGGCAGTCTGCCCACTTCTCTTCCAGCCCCTGCAGATTGAGGGGGCAGGCATGGTATAGGGTACAGAGGCTACTAGGGGAATGGGAAGCTTTGGGTTTTTCCCAGACCCTGCGGGTCAGTGGAGGAAGATGTCTGGACGTATTGGTGTTAACGAGTGATGATGTGAGCCACTTGTGTGGCAGTGATGTTTGGTAACGTGTCCCAGCTAGCAGGGACTGAGTGGCCCTGTGCCCGAGTGTTCTGCCACATTGTCAGTGCAGTCAGGCCTGGAACTTAAGCTTCTTTTTAGGGCCTTCTCTACCAGAATATGCCTTTTCACCTTCCAGCTGATCCTCCAAAACTTTCTTCTCAGCTGTAGTTGCCTTTCTGTGTCTTCCAGCCCCCTCTATAATGCAGCGGGCCTAAAGATTTGGAAGGATGAAGCACGCATGGAATATTCTTCAGAAAGCCCAGGGCATTTGGCCTACAGGAAACCCAGCTGCGTGGGAACATACCTAGGATTTAGGCTCTACATTTCTGGCCTTTTAGGGGAGGCTGCTGCAGGGCCACCCTAAGCTCAAAGAAAGATAAGAAAACCCTGAACTTGTAAGAAGGCTTTTCATTCCCAGCTGCTTTCCTGTCCCGGGTCATACATACCTAATGATGAATGGGAAAGTCACAGCTTGAGCCAGTGCCTGGCTGGGACCTGTGGTCTGTCTGGGAATGAGAAGTGAGGGTCCTTGAGGGCAGGGCCCTGCCTGTTGTTTGTAGCCTGAAGGACCTGCTGCTCAATCCGGCTTGCAGAGCAGGTATGATGATGAGTGGTAGCACTAGTGCCTGGTTTGTGTACTGGCTCCCTTGTCGCTGTTGAGCATTGTGGAAACCATGCCTGCTGTCCAGTTTGCCAGAGTTGGATTCAAGTCCAAGTCCTGCTGCATACCGCCCATGTGACTGTATGGCCAATGTTCTAAGTGGGACTGAGTTTCCTTGTAGCTATCTACCTGAGTCATTGTAAAGGTCAGAAATAATGTAGGTAGATGATGGCACCAGGATCTGGCCACAACCCAGTGTGTTATGGTGGCCACTGTCCTTCCGGGGTCAGGGCTGTGGCCTGCACTTTAATAGAGAGCCCCAGCAGCTGGGCTGACCCTCTGCTACTCTATGTTCTGTTCCCTAGACCTTCACAGCCTGGTGCAACTCCCACTTGCGCAAGGCAGGCACACAGATAGAGAACATCGATGAGGACTTCCGAGATGGGCTCAAGCTCATGCTACTCCTGGAGGTCATTTCAGGTGAGGCTCACACTGGCGCAGTGCAGCTCACACTCAGGCCAGATGCCCTGTCCCTGCCGGTCTGGGAGACACTGCCCACCCAGCTGCCCATGACTGCCGAGGAAGAGACTGCAACCCTTTCCATAGTATTAGCCTGTGTCTGAGTGTCAGCCTGTGCGCGGGGGTCAGAGTGGCTTGTGGATTGGTGGGGGCCTGCATTTGGAAGGCAGAGAAACACTAAGGCTTCTGTCTCCCTTCCCTTTCTCCCTGCTTCTCTCAGGGGAGCGGTTACCTAAGCCCGAGCGGGGGAAGATGAGAGTACACAAGATCAACAATGTGAACAAAGCCTTGGACTTCATCGCCAGTAAAGGAGTCAAGCTGGTCTCTATTGGGGCAGAAGGTGAGCTCAAGGTGGGGCTGAGTTCGTGACCTTCACTCTGAGGTGCAGCATCTACATTCTGCCCACATGAAGTGTCTTGGTGATGGAGTACCTGGGGTTCTTGAAGCCCCAAGACATACTCAGCAGTGACTGCAATGACTGCCCTCCCCATCACTACCGACATCCTGCAGAAAAAAGTCCCTGTGGGTGCACTCTGAATCTGGGAGGTACAGTACAGCCAACTCTGAGGTAGGAGTGGCTTTGACTGGGACTCTGGACACTCATCCTCTTTGCCCTGAGCCTGACAGACAATAGCAGACATGTAGCCTGGCCTCTATGCCAGGAGCTCTGCTGCCATCAGCCCTACCTGGTGGGTGTGGGAAGGAGGGAATGTAGGCATGAGACAGGGACTATGGGCCTCAGGCAGGGCACTGGGATGTGCAGAGGCCAGGTCCAGTTCCCACACTTTGTCCTGGGCAAGCAAGCTGGGGGAGTCTGGCCTCAGGCCACACCAGGACCCTCTTTGTCTCTAGTAGATGCCCAGTTCCACCTTCCTCAGGGCCCCGGTTGGGTGTAGAGGTGCTTTTGGAGATGAGCTACAGCCTGATGGGGCCCAGAAGCTCAGCAGCAGCCAGGGCTCACAGTTCTGCTCATTAGTCAGAGCAGGGTTTCTTGCCCTGACATCTATGTTGTCCCAGCTTCTAGAAAAACAAAGAAAACTAATTGCTGTTAATGACAGGGCCCAGAGAGTCTGGCCAGGACTCCAGGGCAGAATGTGTGTACTGAGTTCCAGGGTCTTGCCCCAGCCCCAGACCTCTCTGAGGAAGGGCGCCAAGCCTTGCATGCCACAGTCGAGGTGGTTGATGTTTGTTTTTTTTAAAAAATCAAAACCCAAAAATTCAGTCAGGCCCAGAGATTTTCTGTCCTTGCATGGATCTTTCCTCTGGGCCCCTTGCCAGCCTTCTGCTTCTCACAGCTGCATTTGTTTTGCTCAAACGCTGGTCTGTAAATACAGAAGGGGTTAGGGATAGACCGTGGCAGGCCTCAGTTTCATTTGGAGAAGAACTCTTGTCTGAAAATTTTCCCTCTTCACTCCCAAATCCCTGTGACCATCAGGCCCTGGGACAAAGCTGGAAGGTGGCCCAGGGAAGATGTTCCGCAGCTTGGGGCACCTGAGAACCCTAGCTGCTGGGCCTTCTTCTCCCTGCACATGCATACCGCCTGCCTGACAGTTTCAGGAGCATGATGACTTCCTTGCGGGGATTATGAGAAGGGACAGCAGTCGGGGGCACAGCTGCAGGTCAGAGGAGGAGCTGGTGGCATGTCACAAGAGACCACCTTCCTCCACTCCCCAGAGCCTCCCAGGAGCACCAAGCCCCCACGGGCAGCCTGCACCCATAGCACTGGGGTATACTTGGGCCATTGCTCTGGAGGCCACCCTTGGTGCTCATAGCTTTCCCAAGGGGAGAGCTGTGTTCACCCCATGCTGGGAAGGGGCAGGTGGCTCTCCCTGGTGGGGCCCCAGGGCAGGACCAGAACAGGGAGGTGGTCCCTCCCCTGCCTCCACGCGGTAGACTGAGTGTATTTCCTCATCCTGTAATAGGAGAGCTGAAAGCCGCCCTCAGCTCTAGGCTCCTGGCTTGGCCTGGCAACTCCTCCACGGTGGCTGACAGAACCCCTTTCCCTCTAAGAGGTCTCTGGGTGACCACTCTACTCCTTCCAAGCCCTCCTACCCTCAAGTTTTCTAGTCCCGAGGATCAGAGACTCAGATTCTCCTTCACCTAGCCCTTCCCAGGTGGCTGTGGTGGTGGAGCTGCTCCGTCTGGCCATTGTCTCACCCTTTCTTCTTCTGAAGCCATTTTGCCCTAACTCCTGTTTTCTGGGTTGAGATTTGGGACATCAGAAAGCTTAGGACTGGGCAGGACAAGGGCTTCTTAGAAAGAGAGCAACAGAGCCGGGGATTTAGCTCAGTGGTTCTGCCGCCTGCTTCACAAGCGCAAGGTCCTGAGTTCGATCCCCAGTACCAAAAAAGAAAGAAAAGAAAAGAAAAGCAGTGACAGAAGCGATTCCTGACATAACAAGAAAGGGCTTGTGGGAGGAGAAGGTCCAGCCACTTGAAGGAAAGGACTTGGGTGCCTTTTGTGGATAGACAGAGGTGTGAAGTCTTCAAAGTAAGAAAGAGCCTAGCTTGGAGTATTCTTGTTTGCCTGTAACCCCAGCAGCATTCACTGGGGCTGAGGCAGGAGGGTAAGTTCAAGCCCAGCTTGGAAAACTTAGTGAGACCCTGTCTCAAAAAATTTAAAAAGGGCTGGGGATATGGCTCAGTGCAAAGGGTTCAGTCCCTACTGCACGCACGTGTGCGCACACACACACACACACACACACAGTTCGCTCGCCCACACTCTCAGTAAGAAAGAACTTAGCTTGATGAGGGGGTACAGCCAGAGGGCACTAGGAGGGGACAGGGGACAGCAGGCTAGGGCTGGGTGGCTTGCGCCAGGGATCAACATGTCATCGCCAATGCAGTGGAGCTTTCAACAGTGACATGATACAAATCTGACACAAGAGGCTGCGGTAAAGGAGTGGACTGAAGAGATCCACAGAAGCAGCCAGGTCATGCTCTGGGAAGAGGGTAGTATGGCTGGAAGGAGGTGGTGGATTCTCAACACTGACTAAGCAGAGACTGAAAGTCTTAGCCTCAAGACAGGCACTGCTTGAATAAAGAGTTATGCTGAGCAGTGAGGGCCCTGACAGAGAAGGGCCACACACCGGGACAGTCCTCTCACAGAGCAGGCTTGTGAGCTGCATCACTACAGTGAGCTGGCAGAGGGGTTGGGGTCGTGTAGCCCAGGAAACACATGTAGAGACCTATGGTGGAATGCTGGTGGTGGTAGCAGGTTTGCAAAACAGTCTGCCTAGCGAATGTGGGGCACGTTTCTCCTGGGGTGGAGGCAGCGGCCTGGTATCCAGTCCTGGGATCAGGTGGCCTCTGGGCAGGGTGAGGGGCCTCACTCCAGTTTAACAGCCTTTGCTCCCTCTGCCTCCTTCCCTGTATGCAGAGATAGTGGACGGCAATGCAAAGATGACCCTGGGAATGATCTGGACCATTATCCTGAGGTTCGCCATCCAGGACATCTCTGTGGAAGGTAAGAGATCATACAGAACCAGGAAATTTTGCCATACAACTTATAATCACAGCACTTGGGAGGATTGTGAATCCCAGGCCAGCCTGAGCTACATGAGAGAACCCATCTCAAAAAGCCAAAAAAAAAGGTGAAGGTGATGGTGTTGAAAACCACCCTTTTGCCCTCCAGGAACAAGTTAGGTTAGAATTCCTGAAATTTTGCTTTTGTGCTTCAAGCATCTTCCCTGCTTCCTTGGGGTGACTCCCAGAGACTGCCCTACACAGGAGTGTGTGGTCACCGGGTGCAGGTGACGGAGATCCTCCAGCCTTTCCTGCCTCTCCACTGTGGGTCCCCCAAAGCGCTAATGTTCTCAGAGCCTCCAGCTCACAGACCCCCCACATTACCTCATGAAGCCTGAGTCACGGAGAGAACTAGTGATGGAGCTGGGCCTGGGCCCATTCTCCTGCTTGACACCCCCATCTCCCTGGGACCTCTTCCTCAGAGGACCTAGTCAGGTCCATTCTGGGATAGGCTTCATGTTTCTCCAACCACCAGTGTGCCACAGAGGAGAAAAACTGCCAGACCAAGCATGTGCAGGGGCACTCAAATGCCGGGTTACAGTAGTGACCAGGACACTCTTGATCCCTGCCCTCATAGGATTCTTGTCCTAAGGAGCAAAAGAGGCCAGGGTGGGCGTTCAGGGCTCCTTTGACAGTGCTCTGGTGGCTAAAGGCAGGCTTTGTGGTCAGGGACACAGCACAAGCTCAGGTTCTGGTGCAGCTGCTTTCTTGAGTAGCCTTGAGCAGGTGACTTCTTGGGACTGTGAGGGTTAGGCTGGGCCATACTTACTGTCACTCATGATGGGTCCATCCGTGTCCAGAATGAGGCAGCTGTCCCTACTGCTGTTGTGATATCTGATGGTCTCCTTGGGTTTTGTTTGCTCTCAGGCCTGACGCTAAAAGTCCCCTCCAGCTTGGGATGAGAGTTCTCAGGGATTGTTCTCGAGCCAGTTTCATTGACCTTATGTGTTTTGCAGAGACTTCTGCCAAGGAAGGGCTCCTTCTCTGGTGCCAGAGAAAGACTGCGCCATATAAGAATGTCAACGTGCAAAATTTCCATATCAGGTGAGCTCCTTGCCAGAGCATCCTTCTTCTCATCCTCCTACTTCATTCCAGGACTTAAGGTGTTTCCTCCTGCCTACCACTGAAATGCTCTCCCTCAGTGAGTCCCTGCTCCTGTAGGAAAGTCTCCTGTTCCTCCGCAAGGAGGAGACGGTCACATCCTGAAAGCAGTAAGGTCTGCCACTCCCCAGAGCCTTATAGAGCCTTCTTCTTTTTTTTTTTTTTTTTTTTTTTTTTTT